AAACTTATGATGAGACATGGTGTATATAATGAGACATGCGGTCTATATAATGAGACATGATCTATAAATGAGACATGGTCTATATAATGAGACATGGTCTGTATAATGAGACATGGTCTTATATAATGAGACATGGTCTATATAATGAGACATGGTCTATATTGATGAGACATGGTCTATATAATGAGACATGGTCTATATAATGAGACTATGGTCTATTTGATAAAACATGATCTATATAATGAGACATGGTCTATATAATGAGACATGGTCTATATAATGAGACATGATCTATATAATGTGACATGGTCTATATCAACAAACATAGTCTATATATATCATGAGGAATAGTCCATGTAAAGAGACATGATCTCTATTATGACAGATGGTCTATATATGATGAGAAAGGTCTTTATAATGTGGCAAGGTCTATACTATGAGGCATGGTCTATATGATGAGACATGGTCTATATAATGAAACTTGATCTTTATAATGAGACATGGTCTATATTAAGATTCATATTCTATAATATCATGAGGAATAGTCTATGTAAAGAGACATAGTATTTATTATGAGACATGGTATCTATAATGAGACATGGTCTATATAATGCTTTTTATAGGTTTTTTAATTTTAAATCTATTACTTTCCTAGAGCCAAAGATATATATTCTATGACATATAATGTTAAGAACTAAATGTGTCTTTATTTTTTTTTAATGCCGAACAACATTTACTTTTTTGTGGCGTGACTTATGACAGCTTATCCGTTGTTGCGTGAGTTTATCTCCCCTAATTCCAGATAAGCTTACCATCAATACAAATAAAGTCGTGGTACTGAACTTACTATATATACAAACGAATTCACGACAAAATAAAATTAGTGGCGTGGCGCCTATTACCTTAATTTCACAATGTATGAATAAAACGTCAACAACAAAAAATCCGCGAAAAGACGTCATCAAAAATTGCGAAAAAACGTCAAGCACAAGAGATTTTCATCAAAACAATGGCAGACTTCGACACTATATACGAAGAAACAGATGATGATAGTAACGCTGGCGAGTATATGATCCCAGTCCCAGATCCAATAATAATCAGAGGAGCTGGTTAATATAACAATGTGAGTTACATTACGCTAAAAATAATCCGTGTTTGTGTTGAAATGTCTGAAACATGTTTCTAACGTAGCCTACATGCTGTCTGCTCGACTTTTCCTTTGTTGTTGGTACATATATTTTTTTCTCATAAGTTAATCAGGAGAAAGTTGGTCAAATCAAATACAGAATGAATGTATCGAACCTTTTGAATATTGCTGGTGAATGTTTTTAGTCTGTGATTGACCTGTGAATTTATAATGTGAAATAGGGAATTCATGATATTTAGTCCAACTAATTGTACTGCGCGACGAGATATTGTGCTATTTTCGTGTCTGGGCAATATCTCGCCTCTACAGAGATTCTGCCCCAGAACGAAAATATCTGGCAATATCCGGTCTTCGTCCCCCGGGGGAACAATGCACTTTTCAAGTTGATCTGGATCACTGGAGCGCTTGCTTTAAATTTGACAGCCGTATATTGGTTGTCAAGAGTAACGTTATGTCGGCATTTTCCTTGAAGCGATTTGATTGGATCAAATTATTACATTAATTATCTGTATATTCCGTAAAATAAAAAAAGAATCATACATGAACTTACTAATTCTGTAAGCTTCTATGCTGGTATATCCTTATTTCCCCGTTTAAATTATCATATCGTCTGTTAGTGATGTTAAATGCATATAAAGACAGGTCTACTATATAATGTCCACTATGAAAAAGTCTAAATAGCGCTTAAAAATGATTTGAAGCGGCGCGGTCACGTGCCAAACCCATTCTACAAATATTTCAGGATTAAGTCCATTTACATAAACAAAATTAATGCTGATATAAGTATTCTCTGAAAATGATTTAAATTTGGAGTCCAGAAATAAATCCTGATTGAATGTGGCCATTGATTTGCTGGTCCAATGATATCTTGAATTATTGACTATTTACTATAGATTTCAATATTTCTGTTTGACATGCTCGCTAACTATTGCAAGTACACTTTATGATACGCACGCACAACTCGTGCATTCCTCTCCTCATGTAACATGTGTATATTCAATTTATACTACTATATAAGGAAATAAAAATCTCAATACAACCGTGTATGACTTACATGGGGCATTTCAAGGGGAATGAACTTTGGTTATTGAAAAACAAATGTGTCATCAACCATGCTATTCATTCCGTAAAATTATTATTAAAAAATAAAAATAAAAACTTTTTTCATAATTTTATTACTTACCTAAAAATAACACACATAAGGGCATCGTCTCTCTATATATAATCCGGTCTTCGTCCCCGGGGACGTTGCCTCGTGTTATACATGTTATTCATTCCGTAATGAAAACATCATAAAGATAGTTACCCCCAAAAGAAAGCCAAGCCCCATTTTCAATAATATAGACCCCGAAGAAAACCCTCTTCCGGGGATATATCTTCCCCTTCAGTGGCATTTTAAAGTTTGTTTGTAAAGAATTCGCTCTGTCTATATATATAATCCGGTCATCGTCCCCGGGGACAATGACGGATTATATATACAGTCGCGATATGAAATATTCGATCATTTCTTTTGCCTCGTAAAGGGAAGTTTTTCCCGGGAAGAGGATTTTCTTGGGGGTTCTTCTATTTTATAAATGGGGCTTGGTTTCTTTTGGGGAAGTATCTTAATGACTTTTTCAAACAAATATATATCTTATAACACAATTATCATTACTTGAAGGTGCTGTGGGCAACGTCCCCGGGGACGAAGACCAGATTTATATATATAGAGGTAAAATATCTTACACTAACAAACTTTTATAATGCCTCTGAAGGGGAGATTTCTCCCCGGAAGAGGGTTTTCTTCGGGGGTCTATATTGTAGAAAAAAGGGCTTGGCATTCTTTTGGGGGTAACTGTCTTAATGATGTTTCATTACGGAATGAATAGCATATATAACACGAGGCAACGTCCCCGGGGACGAAGACCGGATTAAATATAGACAGACAACGCATTTATTTTATTATGTATGCTACAGGAAATGGGGCTTGGCAGTGTTTTGGGTTAATTTCTGAATGCATTTTTTTACGGAATGAATACCATATATATGATGAGGCAACGTCCCCGTGGACGATGAGTACAATAATGCGTACAGAGCGAATTCTTTACAAACAAACTTTATAATGCCACTGAAGGGGAATATATATCCCCGGATCGGGGGTCTATATTATTGAAAATGGGGTTTGGTGTTTCTTTTTGGGGAAATAAAGTCTCATCCGAAAGACTGATTAGTAATTTTAGTTGGCCAGCCCGGGAATCGAACCCACAATGTCGAGATTACAAGTCTCGCACTCTTACCGATTGAGCTATGCGGGCTGGCATAAGATATAGCAAATCGAATATACATTTTATGCACGTGTGTGTAATTATACTGCTCTTTCCTAATAGCGCCCCATTTAATCATGCGATAGTAACTTCAAAAAATCGAACTTGACGAAGATTGCCGAGTTGTTACGATTGATATTGTAGGTGGCGACGCCTATTTGCTGAAATGTCAATAAGCGTCTGAGTGACCCTGATCAGGGAAATACATACGTGTACACTGTCAAAGAAATACACACTAAAATGTTACTGTCCCCCGGGGGACAAAGACCGGATATTGCCCAATATCTCAGAATCAAACTTTGGTACGTCAATATATTTTGACTATCATGATATTATGAAGCCCTTCACAGTTTTTGTCAAGTCCATGCCATTATGTTGCCCCATTTTGTATTCATTTAAAACTTCATAACCAGTGCCAGCGATGCAGAAATTTGACATGTCATGTCAAACTCCTTTGTGCGGACATAGACATCCTAGCTCAGTTATTCACTCATTTTCAATAAGCAGGTGCATTCGTGTCACTGGTTTAATATTCTCGTTCCCTTAAGATATTAAGTTTGGTCTATCAACCTAACAATATACCATTGCGGTAGTCCAACTACAATACAGTTTAAAAAAAATGTTATCTCATCAGAAGTCTGACGCGTATACGAGAAACCACAAAGATGAGACAAAAAGTAATCGAATTCCATGAAAGAGATGAAAACTCAAGAAATATGCCTGGAAAAGGTGACTTCACAAAGTCAGAAACTGGAGAAAAAAAACAAACACCTATGTTAACAGATTATCTATCATCACTTTATCATAAGTTCATGTCCGAAAATCCAGATGCCAAATTATCATTTACTTCTTTCACTTGAATCAGACCGGCAAGAATACGTCTGACATCTATGATCACTAGAGATACCTGTTTATGCAGGAAACATCAAAACATGTCTCTAACACTTAAGTCACTGTCAGAAATCTGTGAATATTGAATGCTCAATCAACCGTGAAAAGATGACAGATGAAAAGGAAAGGCTGATACAAGAAGCTGAGAAAGCATTGTCAAGTGATATAGCTGTTGGCCAATGGAAACGTGTTGAGACAGAGGTGAAAGGTCAAAAGAAGAATGTAATGAAAGTCGTGAACATTACTATTAAACCAGATGACTTTATGTCTCATCTTAAAACCCAGATAGAAGATTTTGACCAACATGTCATAAGAATAAAGACCTAATACTCTGAAATGAAGAATCTTCAAGAGAACTTACCTGATAACCATTGTATTATACACATGGACTTTAGTGTAAACTATTCATGTAAGTCAGTTCAGGAGATACAATTGGCCTTACTGGAACCAGACCGCCGTGACTCTTCACCCTGTGGTCGTGTACTACAGAAAAGATGGGTCTGATGAAATACAGCACAAGAGTTATGTCTTTATATCCGATTAGATGGGTCATAATGCCAATACAGTCCTTGCAATCACTGACAAACTTGTACCAACAATTAAAGATCTTATTCCAGGGGTAACATGGGTACATTATTGGACTGACAGTCCTACATCGCAGTATAGAAACAAGGTCATCTTCAACTTTATAGCAAACCACAAGGATATACATAGTATTCATGCAAGGTGGAATTATTGAGAAGCGGGGCATGGTAAGGGGCCATGCTATGGTCTAGGTGGTAGAGTTAAGCGTATGGCAGACGAGGCGGTTAACTCTTGCAAAGTGGGCATTCAAGATCCCTTTGATTTTTATGCCTGGCCACAATCACCTAACCGTTCCATGAAGAATGTTAGCTTTGTGTTTGTGTCTACGGAAGAATGTGAGAAGAAAGCTGTAGAAACAGGTAACCTGCATCTCAAACCTATAACTGGGACAATGAAAATACACTCAGTACTGGGAAAAGGCAACAATAGCGTCTCAGTTCGAAACACTAGTTGGTACTGTAAAATATGTGTATCTGATGATAGTGAAACATGCGGTACTTGGAGAGACAATACACTTGTCCCAAAGTCTTCAAAACCTACAAACACAGATAAAATATCAAATATCCAAGTTGAAACAGTTAAACACATTTCTGTCGATAAACCCAATATTGATAAAAAAAAAACCTATCATGTTGACGACTACGTCGCAGCTTCATACTTAAGTCACTGGTACATTGGCAAGATCATGAATTGTGATGATGAGGACAACACATTCGAAATAACTTTCTTACAAAATCGCAAACGGATGTTTCAGTGGCTGACAAGACCTGATAAAATCTGGGTGAATAACGAGGACATTCTATGCAAGGTTTCGAGACCTTTGGCAAGCGGCAAGTCAAAACGCATGTTAGTGTTACGAGATGGTGACTTTGAAAGAGTTGAACAAGTGTTTAATCAAGTAAACCAGTAATGATTCATAAAGACATGTACGTTACCAACATCTTCGTTGAGGTGGCTGTTGATATTGTTTTCATCTTTTTTTGACAGATTATTGTTCATATAATACAAGTTGCATTTGATGATTACTTCTGGCGTTATATAGACATGTATTCAGTTGAAAAAAGTAAAAATGACATTTATGTAATGGACATTTCAGAAACACTGCATGTTGCAAAAACAACTTTTCATGTGATTTAAGTAAAAAATTAGTTAAAACAAAACAAAGTTACCACAAGTAAAATTCAGAGATGCAAAAATAATACATATTAAGTTATAAAACAAACAAAAAATTGTTTATTGTTAAGGCGTATATGTTCTTGCCAAGTTTGTTTTCCAGTTTTTTTCAAGTTCATTTCTCGCTGACGCTAACATTATATCATTTTTATGCGTGTTTCGTGTTTAACACTTGTTATCATGTTAAAATAGTTGCTAAGTTTTAAATATCTGCCTTTTCAAGACAAATAATTGTTGTTTTGATTTGGTTATAATATTAGTAACGAACATTTCATATATCATTCTGTTTGTATTTTTGATACAATTCCTGTGAAATAACCACATTTGGTCCATACTTTGGTTGCATTTAATCTTTAAAAGGTTCAGGTGTAATATTTAAATAGAAGAATAAACGAGGAACAGACTGAAACATTTTTATAATCTTTTTTTTTTTAATATAATAGATCACTTTTTTTACTTGAACAACATTATACACAGTTTAACTAAGCACATAACAATTAAATATTGTTATTTAGTACTAATGTTTTTCTAAATTTTCTAAAAAATAACACTTTGTTTCTTGTAGTGAAAATGCTTAAATGTGTTTTTTACCAACCATTTATTGTATAATGACCATTTAAAGTTATTGTAACAAACATTTCATGACAAAATTTGTACATCACAACTCTCCTTCTTCAAATGAGGATTTTGCAACAATAACTTATGTTTTTTTCAAAATATTACACAAAGTTGTTGTTTAAAGATTATATTTTTCGATTTAAATGCTAAATAAAGCATTCTAAATCACTGATTGTCTTGTCTTTGGTACTTCCTTGATGCACCTGCTTATTGAAAATGAGTGATTATCCTTATAAAATGTCCTTGACTTCAGCCTAATCATTGTACTATAATGTATTCTCGCAGATTCCAACCTTCTTCCATTACTGAAGATTATGTGTTGGCATTGGTTAAAATATTGTTCATGAAAATGAACAATTTAAAATTTTGTAACTATGTGATATGATTTTATTATTAAAACACAGCCTTTAAAGTTTGATTTATTGACATTGAAATCAAATGAGGCACAGATACAATTAATTAAAGTGCTGCTACTGTGAATGCTGTATGTGCATTAGGTGGTAGAATGTTCCATCAACTGATTGTTCTAATACTCCTGAATGGTTGAAGGTCTGGTCAGGATGCAAATTCTTCCCACCCTGTGGCATTTGGCACCTAATGAAATAAGAAAAGTGCAGGTATTTAAGTTATGTATCATGTTTCTGCATGTCTGTATTGTGCTAAGTATATTAACTTTATTTCTACTGACTTGCTAATGATACAAATAAATGATATTTTCAAATGAGATGTGTTTCATTCTAGATTTGGCTTGAGTAACAGATTTAATGTAGAATTTCCATCAACTTTAACAGGAAAGGTAGGTAACTTTACTCAAATTTATTTGAATATTTTTCTGCATTTGTCATGGTTGTCATGTATTTATTTTGATTGTCCAGAATTTAGTCAGAAATGCGTAAAATTGGCATCTGTGAAAGAAAACCATTTGGTTACAATCATGTTAACTTAATTATCCCCTGCCTATTCAAAGAAAAAAGCGGTATGTATAGAAATGGACTCTATCTTTCTGTCTGTTCGCACTTAAAGAAGATACTTAAGTGGCTAAAATAACAACAGTACTTTCACTTTTATGATGTTATTCATTTTGTAAGTTTTTATGTAGTATTTTTCTTTTATGTGGCTTAAGAAAATAGAGAAGTCAAAACTGTCTCTGTAGAACTGCACTCTTCATGTCTGATCCATAACTCTGCCATTTATCAATGTATTTGAAATATAACTTGGCACAAATATTGACCATAATAAGAAGACATGTCATGTAAAACACTCAGTTCCTTACCTCCAAAGTCAAGGTCACACTTGGAGATCAAAGTTCAACAGTGTCTGATAGAGAGAACATTTCCTTTTCTGTTTGTTTATAATTGAAAATAAAGTTTTGGTTTAATATAGTCATCTGATGAAAAGAGTCTGTCAGTGACATGAATTTACATTTGATATAAACATGTATGAACTTGTCCAGGAAAATTTTTTAGTAAAGCCTGCCAGTCTTGCTTAAATTTTCCTGAACTCATTTCATAAATGAGCCGTGTCATGACAAAACCAACATAATGGGTTTGCCACCAGCATGGATCTAGACCAGCCTGCGCAAACGCGCAGTCTGATAAAGATCCATGCTGTTCGCTATCAGTTTCTTTACTTGTAAAAGGGTCTGTGAGCGAACAACATGGATCCTGATCATACTGCGCGGATGCGCAGGCTGGTCTGGATCCATGCTGGTCGCAAACCCATTATGTTGGTTTTGTCATGACACGGTTCAAATGTAATTTTATTTTATCTGTTGACAACTCATGTCTGATCCTATATTTATATATAAAGTCATTAAATAAGTTATTAAGTTTAGCGATAATTAAGTGTATGTATCTCTAGCCTGATCAGAGATTTACAAAGATTCTTCTTTCAATTTAAGGATTTTGGTATGGTCACAGTACAATTAAACTACTGATTACACAAACCAATATAGCTTGAACTCCACTGATGTCCAAAAGCCTTAAAGTATAAAAAAACATAGATCAGCTGAAGCACTTAAAACAACAAGATATGCAAAAGATAATTAGGAAATAAACTTAGAAATATATTAAAAATTGCATTTTTATGCCATTCTTTGTGCAATTTTCAATTTTTGGTCATTTTTAGCTATTTGAAAAATTATTCTGTTAAAACTGAGCAAGCGAATGATCTGAAATTATGCACACAAGTTATTGGTCTGAACCTCCTTTTCATGGAACATTAATTTCTAAAAACACATTTCCAGTCCTGTCTTGTTACAAAACGTCAGTGGAGTCCCTTTAAAGACAAATCTAAATAATCTATGTTCTGTCTTATATGTTACAGGTTGCACCAGAAGAGTTTAAGGAAACTGTTTTACGTATTAACAGTACACTAAAGAAAGCACTACCTGTCAATATAAAGTGGTTATTGTGTGGTTGTATATGTTGTTGTTGTACACTAGGCTGCTCTCTCTGGCCGGTTGTCTGCTTAAATAAAAGGGTGAGACTTTATTCTATTGTAAATCTAGGTTCAATATTCACTTATAACTTTTTTTGTCACTTTAATAAGTCGTCGCCTAACTCTAAAAGTGTCCTATGTTCATTTTTGCAAAATTTGAGATAAATGAACCATTCTTTTTACTTTACATTGCTCTATCTTTTAAGCTTTGGGTTCAAGGTAATGATGACCTAGAAACGGAGTTATCGAGTATGAACTTTGCTCTATGTCCACATTTCGCATGATTGTTTTATCCTTATAGTAGGGTATGTACGTTACTTAGGACAATTAAATAGTGAAACCTGAAATAAGCCAATCAAAACACGAACTGTTGGTCAGATGACCTTGGTCGTTTTCGCAATGATAGTGCGCTAAGGAAGTCAAAACTTCCGGTAGAGAATTTTCTTGCCAATATTTTTTCTGCCTAATGCCATTGATTGTGTTTCCAAGCAAGATAAAGTAATAATATGTGAGTATATTAAACTAAAATCTCAGTATGTGTAACTGCAATTTGCTTTTTTAATGTCAAATGCACTGTACAATCTCAGAATTTTAAGAAGTTTTACAAAACCTAGTAAATATAATTCGGATCAACAATATTTCGGATACATAAATAAATAAATTAAAGTTTACCTTTTCATTTTTATCGTGAGCTATACTAAAATCACTGATATTATAATCTACTTAAATTTAAATATCATTATAGGTTAAACCTTGTGTTAACTATTGCCCGACGGCATTTAAGATCTGTTGACAAAAGTGAACAAAGTTTGTAGAAAATTTAACGATTTGATAAGCAATGATCAAGACTTTGGTGTGATTTTGAGATTGATTATCCTATTGTGTCACTGCTCTCTGGAAAAAGTTGTATATAATGTTATATGGAATGAACAAGTCGCTGGACGAGGATCTAATGAACTTATTAGTGCTGTAACTGTTATTTTAGAAAACGCTTTGAAGGCTCATCCTCATGTTAAGAAAATAACGTTGTGGTCTGATAGTTGTGTACAACAAAACCGGAACAGCATGATGACCACTGCTTTATAACTATTTCAACAAAATTATCCTGAAGTGGTTGAAATTGTTCAAAAATTTTGTACTCCTTGACATTCCAGTATTCAGGAAATTGATAGCATTCACTCACATACAGAGAAAAAGCTGAAAGTTTCAGAAATTTATAGTCCTCTAAGTCTAATTAGAAAACTTAAGCAAGTCCGTCCGGATAAAACCGTAATCATACAACTAAAAATGACGTGATTTTTGACTATCGAGCGGTTGCAGAGAAATTCACATTTAACTCTGTCCCATAAACAAGAGTTAAAGCATTGAAAATGTGAATGAATTGCCGTTTCAAGTGTTTTTTAAAGAGTCATATGTTGTCCAGTACACAGAGGCGACAATTCTAAGGACAACAAGGTTATCTTGTAAAGCAGACCTACTTCCTTTGCCTAAAATTCTGAAATGTGGAAAGGGTTTGTCTGATGACAAGAAAAAAGATATAGAAACCATGCTACGATTTATACCGACAGAGGATCGCATGTTCATGAAAAGTCTGTGCAAAATATAAACCTTTATAAGTGCAAGTGCTATAGTATTACGCAAACAGACATCATAGGAATTTGTTCATGATATTCTATAACACAATATATCAAATACTCATCTACATCTATACTTGATTAATATTATGTTTGAGAAATTAACTAAATGAGACATTGGAATATATTTTCTCCTTAGCTCACCTGTCACAAAGTGACAGGGTGAGCTTTTGTGATCGCTTTTCGTCCGGCGTCCGTCCGTCCGGCGTCCGTCCGTCTGTAAACTTTTTCTTTAAATGACATCTCCTCATAAACCGCTGAACCAATTTCATCCAATTTTCACAGGAATGTTCCTCTGGTGGTTATCTTTAAAAATATTCAAAGAATTTAATTCCATGCAGAATTCTGGTTGCCATGGCAACCGATAGAAAAAACTTAAAATATCTTTTTTTTTAAAAACCCAAAGAGGTAGAGGTTAGATATTTGGCATGAAACATCTTCTAGTGAGTGTCTATCAAGTTTGTTCAAATGAAAGCCCTGGGGTCAAAATTGGCCCGCTCCAAGGGGTCATTGGTTTTCCCTATATGCATATAGTAAAAACTTATAAAATCTTCTTTTAAAGAACCAAAAGAGCTAAAGCTAAGATATTTAGCATGAAACATGTTCTAATGGGTGTCTACCAAGTTTGTTCAAATAAAAGCCCTAGGGTCAAAATTGGCCCTGCCCCGAGGGTCATTGATTTTCCCTATATGCATATAGTAAAAACTTATAAAATCTTCTTTTAAAGAACCCAAAGAGCTAGAGCTAAGATATTTAGCATGAAACATCTTCTAATGAGTGTCTATCAAGTTTGTTCAAATAAAAGCTCTGGGGTCAAAATTGGCCCTGCCCCAGGGGGTCATTGATTTTCCCTATATGCATATATTAAAAACTTTAAATTAAAAATTCTTTGAAAAAAACAAATAGCTAGAGTTTAGATACTAAGCATGAAATATCCTTCTAGTGAGTGTCGACAAAGTTTTTTCAAATAAAAGCCCTAGGGTCAAAATTGGCCCTGCCCCAGGGGTCATTGATTTTATTTATGTGTAAAGCAAAAACTTATAAATCTTCTTTGAAAAAAACCCAAATAGCTTGAGTTAAGATATTTAGCATGAAACATCTTCCAGTTAGTTTCTTCAAAGTTTGTTCAAATAAAGCCCTAGGGTCATAATTGGCCCTGCCCAGGGGGACATTGATTTTCCTTATATGGTGTATAGCAAAAACTTAAAAATCTTCTTTAAAAAAACCGAATAGCTAGAGTTTAGATATCAAGCACAAAACATTTTCTAGTGAGTGTCTCCAAAGTTTGTTCAAATAAAAGCCCTGGGGTCAAAACTGGCCCCTCCCTAGTGGTGTCATTGCTTTTAACTATATGTGTAGTTAAAACTTAAAAAATCTTTTTTTAAAAAACTCAACGAGCTAGACCTTAGATGTTTAGCGTGAAATATCTTCTAATGGGTGTCTACCAAGTTTGTTCAAATAAAAGCCCTGGGGTTTAAACTGGCCCTGCTCTGGGGGCCTATATACAGGTGAGCGACTTCAGGGCCATCATGGCCCTCTTGTTTGATGTTGTATTTTGGCATCATGTTATTGTTGCATTTATTGTTAAAAACTGCAAGCCACATGAATAGTTGATTTACGTTTAATATTAATGACTACTACATGGCAGATTTGATGAAGTACCTTGGCAACAGGTTTTCTTACATAAATAATTTAATAATGTTAACCTTTAAGTCCATTGAAAAAATGTTAGATAATAGAACATTCAAGTCTTTCATGATTTTTTTTCACGGTATGACGAGACGCTGTTTTATGTTTTTGTTTAATACAAACATTTTGCATTAATGTATTATGTTAATACATACAGATTGAGATTTTGCAAAGTAACATGCTGTATATGAAAATATAGAGACAATTTTATACCTTTTATATGATGTATAAATATATTTGTCTATTATTAAGATATGTTTCTTTGTTACGTAACTTACGATCAATATTTATGTTTAAGATATCAATTTCTATTTGTCATGACAAGAACTTATATTTATTAATGTTACAAAAGTTATGATAAACAGTTATAAATTGTTAAAACGGTTGTGACTAAATATTTGGGGACCAATAACATAAAGTCTTAACACTTTAGGTTTGATGCATTACGTTACGTTTAGGTCGGTTTTCTGAATTTATTTTCCCATAACTTATTTAGCAAGTTTTATACTATTATACAAAGAAACATCCAGTCGCTCATTTGCGTTGAAAAATTATTGCGACGGCTTATAATGATTTACAATAAAATCTAATTGCACATACGGACAAGCATAAAAAGTGCATTTTAAAGGTTAAAATAGCCTGTGTATGTAATAATTTCTACCATTAATGTATTGTATCTCTGGCTCCTTCATTAAATTTTGGTATTACTTTGCTTTATCTCCAATGACGCACTTTTAGAGTGACTTTTTAAGAAATATTTTGACCTTTTGCTCTATCTCAAATTTGTTTTTTTTTTCATATTTACTCTCAGTCTTTCTCCAGAAAGAATAATAAACACCTTTTGTGCGCATTAAAATCCTAAATATATATGTGTGAAACATTTCAATTCAGTGGGGTCAGGTGGAAAAAAATATTAAGATGCAAAATGTTTAAAGTCGTTTTTCTTAAAATAGCATTTTGGCAGTTAGGACATTTTAAGAGTAAGCCGACGAAGTGTTAAAATAGTAGATGTGCAAACTTGTTTTACACTATCCATTATTTTTAAGAAATTTAACACAAACTTGTACATGTTTTTTCTTCGAACAGTTACAAGTTACGGGTGGCCTCATGATGCTATTGTTTAAGGTGTTTACTTTTAAAATGCTAGTTTGTTATTACATTTGTATTTGGTTCACAGTCATGTTTCCTGATTTGTCAACATTACTGGTTTGCTCTAGGAATAATCTCTGGCACATTAATGAAATGATATATAATTATATAAATTGCAAGAACTTGTTTTTTAACCAACTATGAATAAATTTGTTAAGGCTATCAGGTCTGTGTGATTTTACAGTTTTTGCCTTTCATCATCTACATTATATATATATACTGTATATGTGCAAACAAGTAAATAAATATTTTTGCATCATTAAATTTAAAAAAAAGAAGAATATTTTACTATACTGACTCACTGTAATTATTTAAACTGTTTGTTATACAATCATGTGATGTCATATAATGACTTATGTACATGTGAAGTGTTTTGTGGTTTTTAAATAAAAGCCCTGTCACTTAAGATATACGAGATTTCGTAAGGTTCTTTTATATCTCTTTTTCTGTACAGGATCTTGACATTTTTTTGGGTTATGTAAAATGCATAATTATGTAAAAGGAAAATCTTAAATAAAAAAAGTAGTTTATGACCATAGTTTGCTAACAAGTAGTATACAGTATAGTTTGATTCATTCTGTACAAAGATAGTTAGGTATTTCTTTCTTTTATAAAAAATATATTCCTTTATAGAACATTAAATGTTTAATGATTATCATTTATTGATGACCTTTAAAATGATATAATGTTAGGTTGTGTGTTAAGTGAATGTCATACTTACTCTTTCCTGCTGTAGCCCTTTGTCACCAGTATAAAGCCAGGCCAACCTGCACAACCGTGCAGTCACACCAGGCCCTATATTGTTGGCTGGCTTAATTTTTGTAATTTAATATTGACATCCCTTAAATTTTGAATGGACTGTTCCAATTTTAAAGCTGGGCAAATCCATTACACAGATTCAGCAGGTCAATAGTTAATTTTAAATTCTGCTTAGAGCATTGAAATGTTTGAAACTGGAGAGTAATCAGGGTCTGAGGTTAATAAAGAAATTCTCCAACTGAATCACAAATCTCAGTTATTTGATTGGTTAGAAACTGCCACATAATGTACACTAACCAAGGGAAATCCTGAGATTTGAGAAAAAAGAATCAGAAAAAATGTATTGTAACCTCCATGCCAGATTAACAATTTTCTTTAAAATGAAGATGCTTTATAGTTGATATACTACTGGTAAACAGTTCAAATCGGGTATTGTGCAATACAAAAAAAATCAATAGGAGGTTTTGAAGAATATCAATATAACTCAGCGATAAGAAGCTGTAACTGTTTAACAATTTGATAAACAGTTTTTTTGTTTTATTTCAGACCAGACATTCTATAGAGAAAGTTTTAGACTGGGAAAATAGTCACCTATACCATAAGGTAGGGAATTTTACTTCATAATAAAAATAAACAGAATATTGTTGAGTAAGAACAGTGTTGTTTTGATAATGTATATTTCAACATCAAAACACAAAAATTATGTCTCCCAAAACTTTTGGGAGACATATTGTTTTTGCCTTAGCTGTCCGTCTGTCCTTCCAGTTGTCAGTCCGAGCGCACGAGAGGGTATATGTTGGGTACTAAATACCCAACAACTACCAATCCTACTCATTCCCTATATATTGTTGGGTATTTTTAGCTCACCTGTCACAAAGTGACAGGGTGAGCTTTTGTGATCGCTTTTCGTCTGGCGTCCGTCCGGCATTCGTCCGGCGTCCATAAACTTTTACTTTAAATGACATCTCCTCGAAAACAACTAAGCCAATTTCATAGTTCCTTTGGCGGTTATCTTTGGAAAATTGTTCAAAAAATTTAATTCCATGCAGAACTCTGGTTGCCATGGCAACCAAAAGAAAAAACTTTAAATATCTTCTTCTTAAAAACCCCAAGAGCTAGAGCTTAGAATATTTTTGGCATGCAAACATCTTCTGTGAGCTGATCTACCAAGTTGTTCAAATAAAAGCCCTGGGGGTTCCAAAATTTGGCCCCGTCCCAGGGAGAGAGGTCATTGATTTTCCGGCTATATGCAATATAGTAAAAACTTTAAAAATCTTTCTTTTGAAAGAACCCAAAGAAGCTAGAGCTAAGATATTTAGCATTGAAAAATCTTCAATATGTGTCCCTTACCCCAAGTTAATTGTTCAAAATAAAAGCCCTTGGGGTCAAAGATTTGCCTCGCCCCTTGGGCGTCATTGATTTTCGCCTATATCAATATAGTAAAAACTTAAATAATCTTCTTTTTAAAGAACCCCATAGAGCTAGAGCTTAGTTAGATATGTAGCAATGAAACATGTTTTAATGGATGTTTGCCCAAGTTTGTTCAAATAAGAGCTCGTGGTGGTCACAAAATTTGCCTCGCCCCCTGGGGTTCATTGATTTTCCCTATATTGCATATAGGGTAAGACAAACTTAAAAATCTTCTTTATAAAGAACCAAAGAAGCTAGAAGCTGTAGGATATGTTGCATGAAACATGTTTAATGGATGTTATGGCCACCCAGTTTGTTTGCAAATAAGCAGCTCTGGGTCAAATTGGCCTGGCCCCGGGGGGTCATTTACTTTTCCTTATATGTGTATGCAAAAACTTTTAAATCTTTCTTTTGAAAACTCAAATAGCTAGAAGTTTAGATATATAATATGAAGCATCTTTAGTGAGTGTCTTACAAAAAAGTTGTTCAAATTAAAGCCTGTGGTTCAAAATTGGCCCGCCCAGGGGGACATTGATTTTCCCTATATATGTGTTAGCAAAAACTTAAAAAATGCTTGCTTCTAAGAAAAAAAACCTGAATAGCTAGAGTTTAGAAATTAAAGCATGAAACATTTCCTAGTTAAGTGTCTACAAAGATTGTTCAAAAAAAAGCCCTGGGGTCAAAACTGTTCCTGCCCCAGGAGTGTCATTGTTTTTAACTATATGTGTAAAGAAAAAACTTAAAAAATCTTCTTTTAAAAAACCCAAGGAGCTAGACCTTAGATGTTTAGCATGAAACATCTTCTAATGGGTGTCTTCTAAATTTGTTCAAATAAAAGCCCTGGGGTTTAAAATGGCCCGGCTCTGGGGTCTATATACAGGTGAGCGACTTCAGGGCCATCATGGCCCTCTTGTTAATGAATTTTGATGTATTGTTGGGAACTTTTTTACACAACAAAATACCCAACAAGAATACAAATGTAAGAAACTTTACAGGAGTGATCAGTACCATTCCTAGTTGTGCATAAAACTGGCACATTCGGCTTCGCTGCACAAAAAGGCCGTCATAGCTAAAAATAGAAAAATCTTGTCCGACCTTAACAGGTCAAACTACTGGTGGGATTTCAAGCAAACTTAACAGGAGTAATCAGTACCATACCTAGTTATGGACATCTCTAGCATGTTCCACTTCGCTGCTCAAAATGGCCACCAGAGGTAAAAATAGAAAAATCAAATTACTGGTAGGATTTCAACCAAACTTGAGTGATCAGTGCCATCCCTTATTGTGCACATCCATGACATGTTCCGCTTTGCTGCACAAAATGGCCGCCAGAGCTAAAAGTAGAAAAGTCTTGTCAGGCCTTCACAGGTCAAACTACTGTTGGGATTTTAACCAAACTTTACATGAGTGATCAGTACCATCTCTAGTTGTGCACAATACCGGCATGTTCCGCTTCGCTGCACAAAATGGCCATCAGAGCTATAAATAGAAAAATCTTGTCTGGCTTTCATAGGTTAAACTACTGGTGGGATTTCAATGAAACTTCACGAGTGACCATTCATAGTTTTGGAAGACATGTGTTTTTGTGACAAAAACCCTTCTAGTTATAACATACGATTTTATAATGATTGTGGTATAATGATCATTTTGACCTTAAAATTATTGTATGACAAGAGCATCAATACCTAGGTGAAGTGATTAAGGTTAAGATTAAGCATTGAATCACTTGTATGTTAGCGCTGTAGGTTTAAATCCTACCAGGGTTTCTGAATTTTTTCATGAAAGGAAATTAATATCCAGGTTAGGTTTACAGTCTTGGAGAAGGTCAGTGGTTCTACTCTGGTGCCCACTTGTGACTGAAATAATGTAGGGAGGTGTGCCTGCGGAATTTCTCCATCAGTTAACTGTAAAATGAAAGTGATAAAATATTTCCATGTAATTTGAAACAATTATTAATCAATAAGATAGTCATTATTTGTATGTTTCACAAGTTTATACTAAAAAACTTTTATGGAATGTTGGTGGTTCTACTCAGGTGCCAGTTCATGCCTGAGTTATTGCACAGAAGAGCACCTGAGCTCTTCCTCCACCTGTAAAACTGAAACGTTCCCATATGACCTATACTTCGTTGGTGTAACGTAAAACCCAATCAAACAAACAAACAAAAACTAAATAATTTCTTCTTATTATTGTATATATCTGCAGTTAACACTAAGCATAACTAGTTTATATTCTGTGGTTGTATTCCAGCTTGGCCTACATTGGAGGTTATCTAAACAAAGATGTGATAGTAGTAGTATGATGGAATATGTAAGTTATTGTTTTATAAAGTAATGTTATGAGAGATATTAAAACTTCTGATGTAATGATGTGAGATTATTTATATTGTTAATAGATGTGAACTCTCCCTATTTAAGTGGGAGACACCCTCTTTCTCTTGTCAAATTATGTCTCCCCCACCTTGGGGGGAGACATATTGTTTTTGCCCTGTCCGTCCGTCAGTCCGTCAGTCCGTCCGTCCGTCAGTCCGTCCGTCAGTCCGTCAGTCCGTCCATTCTTCGTTTCCGGACGATAACTAGAGTTCCTTTTGACCTACAGCCCTCAAACTTCATAGGATGATTGGTCTTATAGAGCTGATGATCCCTATTGTTTTTGGGGTCAGTAGGTCAAAGGTCAAGGTCACACTGACCGTTGGTCAATTTCTCGTTTCCGGATGATAACTAGAGTTCCTTTTGACCTACAGCCCTCAAACTTCATAGGATGATTGGTCTTATTGAGCAGATGATCCCTATTGTTTTTGGGGTCAGTAGTTCAAAGGTCAAGGTCACAGTGACCGTTGGTCAATTTCTCGTTTCCGGATGATAACTAGAGTTCCTTTTGACCTACAGCCTCAAACTTCATAGGATGATTGGTCTTATAGAGCAGATGATCCCTATTGTTTTTGGGGTCAGTAGGTCAAAGGTCAAGGTCACAGTGACCGTTGGTCAATTTCTCATTTCCGGATGATAACTAGAGTTCCTTTTGACCTACAACCCTCAAACTTCATAGGATGATTGGTCTTATTAATCAAATGATCCCTATTGTTTTAATGGTCAGTAGGTCAAAGGTCAAGGTCACAGCGACCGTTGGTTAATTTCTCCTTTCCGGATGATAACTAGAGTTCCTTTAGACCTACAACCCTCAAACTTCATAGAATGATTGGTCTTATTGAGCAGATGATCCCTCTTGTTTATGGGGTCAGTAGGTCAAAGGTTAAGGTCACAGTGACCATTGGTCATTTTCTCATTTCCAGATTTCTCCAGTTCCATTCCTGTTTCCATTCACAGTTATTCTCAGCAGTGGGGGAGACATGCGCTTTTTTACAAAAGCATCCTCTAGTTTTTAAATATATTTCTTAGAATTAGGGGTGTTTTAAAAAACTTTGAAAATGAAGACAAGGCTAGACGTAATACAATATGGAATACATGTAATTACAGATTTTTGGACTCGGGGGGTGAAGCTAAATTGATATGATTTGATCCATCAGAAATTTCAGTTAGAACATAACATATTGCATTTCATATACTGATGAAGGATTTTTAATGATGACTCAGAAGGTGTGTAAAAACACATTAAAGTTTTTAGTCTTAAACTTTAAATTGTCACATTCTAATAACTATACTGGCATGCGAGCAGTTCCCGTACAAAAATCGTAGTTACTTAAACACTATTTTTTATTACGCTCAACTCACCAAAATTTGAATGTTACACATCAATATTCGGCTCGTAACACAAATCATGGAAATTCCATCATGTTCTAAACATAGAATAACCCTTAGTTATGAGGCCTCATATGGGGTACCGAAATTATCCATTATTTTGTATGAAGAGAAGTAGTTCCCATACATAAAATTTAACCCACTATAATTATTCGGACCTATTTTTCATTTATAATTGTTGAACAGACCATTTTTTAAGAGATAAATAGATGAAATTCAGGAAATAGAAAGTAGACTAAACGCGTGTATATATTACCCGGTACCGTTACCCCCAACGCATTCACATGCGATGGCATGCTTGTATGCATGATATTTTACGCATCAAAGCCATAGAATTATTTTATATACATGTAGTAATATTGGTCAAAATTCTGATAATTAAACAAGTATTCATCACATTGCCTTCTTATCTGTAAACAGATGGTATAAGTGGAAAACCCTTTAACATGCCCCACGTGTAAGTATGTTTGCCCATGCGCGCAAGGACAGAATCCCCCAGATAAAACAAGGTCACGTTTTGACAACGCACAGGTGAAAGTGATTTAAAATGAGACTTTTTAGCTCGACTTTTCTATGAAAAGGGGAGCTATCCTACTCGCCCCGGCGTCGGCGTCGGCGTCGGCGTTGGCGTTAGCGTTGGCGTCACACCTTGGTTAAGTTTTTCGTACCACCCCACTTTATTTCAGAAGTATTACAAGTATGGCTTTGAAACTTACCATACTTGTTCACCATCATAACCTCCATCTACAGACAAGAGTACATAACTCTGTCAAGGTTTTTGACAGAATTATGGCCCTTTTTTGACTTAGAAAGTGTATTGAGCTTGGTTAAGTTTTTTGTACCACCTCACTTTATTTCAAAACCATTGGAGGTATTGCTTTGAAACTGACCATACTTGTTTACCATCACGACCTTCATCAACAGACAAGAGGACATAACTCTGTCAAGGTTTTTGACAGAATTATGCCCCTTTTTCACTTAGAAAATACATTGAATATGGGTAAAATCCACTTATTGCCTTAACCCTTTGAGATATTGCTTTGAAACTTTTAATGCTATTTCACATCATTACCCCCATCTGTACGCAAGAGAAGGTAACTCTGTCAAGGATTTGTTTTAAAAATTAAGTCCTTTTATCGACTTAGAATCTTGGTTAAGTTTTTAGTACCAGTCCACTTTTTGACTGAACTGTTTGAGATATTAATTTGAAAGTTGGAATACTTGTTTACAATCATGATTCCCAAACATGTCCAGGAGAAGGTAATTCTGTCAAAGATTTTATTTGAATTATGGCCCTTAACTGTCAATGTTTTGACTTAAACATTTCAAACTTTGCTGCAGTGTTCAAGGGTATCACACAATTCAGTAAAATAATTCTTCACTAAATATCTTAATGCTCATGGCCATTGTTCACTTTAAAAATACAGAGATTCTTGTATTGCCTTTTACTGCAAAAACTTTTTTTATTGGCAAGCAATAAAAAAGTCGAGCGCGCTGTCTTACGGACAGCTCTTGTTATACATACTGCCGAACTGACACTTAGATTTTGTCTCGTTTATGTATCTGCTTGATTTGAAATGAATTTTTGAAGAATGCATGTAAAAATCAAGCGTTTAAATGAAAAATACGGGTACTGCTTCTGTACGGGAACTGCTGGCATGCCAGTAAAGCAAGAAAGGACCTTATCTAATTAATTTTTTTTTAAAATCAACTTAGCAAGATGCCTTTAAAGTTAATTATGTATAAATGAAATTATTGTATATATTGCAGGTTTTAATTGTAGAATATATACCAAAAGTGTCGATATTTCGTCCAGACTGACATCAGTATGTGCAGAGGTTATGGATTATATTGTCTCAGTAACTGAAATATCAAACAGATGACAGTGATACCTAGATATAAAAATATAACATGTACAGTGTGGATTGGGGCGGCTAGAATAGAAACACTGGTGCTTTCTTCAACTTTCATACAGTAAACAATGTGTAATCTCACAACTTTCACTTTTATATTTGAGCAGCGTCACAACAAAACCAACATAGTGCGTTTGCGACCAGCATGGATCCAGACCAGCCTGCGCATCCATACAGTCTGATCTGGTGCCATGATGTTTGCTATCAGTATCTCTACTTGTTATAGGGTTTGTAAGCAAACAGCATGAATCCTGATCAGACTGCATGGATGCATGCTGGTCGCAAACGCACTATGTTGGTTTTGTCATGGCGCGGCTCATTTATACATCAGGGTATTGGACAGTTTCTTACAATTTATTGATAAATGATTGCACATCACCTTGAGTTTCATCTTATCATGAAATAAATAACACTGCTTAAAATGTTATAATATAATGTTGATATTTTAACAGCCTCATCTAAAGCATATTGTCTAAAGGGACATGCATATCAAGTGCATGCCTTTTATTTCAAAGATAGCCATAAATATATTGTATTTTATAGTAAATCCAGCAAGCATCTTATTGTAATATTACAGATTAAAATTCACCAAGTTTTGCACGATTTTACTTAGAGTGAAGATATTTTTTATTCAAACATTATAAAGTTTTGTGTTTTTATGAAAAAAAAATATCAATGATTTAAATGTTGTGAATTATTATTTTTTGAAAAACAATCACTTGGCAGTTTAGGATATGGTTGCTTAATCCTGGGGGGGGGAAAGAGAACTTGAAAAATTTGTCAATATCTTTTTGTCATCTTTATACAATATAAGTTATTTTCAGACCCTGTGTTCACAAAGAAAAGATCAGGATCAGAATCTGATGATCCTTATTTTATTTTCATTGTTTTATAAAACTGATCCTTTAATGCTAGAATTAAATGTCCATATTCGAAATATAAAATTATAAACAATTGCTTATTTGCAAAATTGGGATAAAACAACAAATAACAAAACAAATACATAAAATAATCAGATTGAAATGAGGATCAATTTTAGGATCAAGATCAAATTTTGGATCAACTGTAAAATGCCGATATCTTGTAAAAAGAACAATCAATTTATTCTAAAATTTCATAAACATGCTATTTCAAGTCCAGCTTTATCAAGTTAATACTGAATATTTAATATATGAGGAAAAATAATGAGGAATATTTGAGTTTTTAAATTGGATCCTGATCTTGATCCTGATCCTTAAATCTTTGTGAACTTGGGGCCGGATATTCATTGTTACTAATGGTAAGGTAAGGTCAGTGTTAAGGGGCACTAATCAGGTAAAATATTTGCTGTTTGATTTATATATAAAAATGCTGTAATGTGCTATTCTAAATGGAGCAAATAATAACTTAATAAATGAAGCCAAGTGAATATAAGGCATAATTATTTAAAAGTAAACTAATTAAAGTTAAACAATTATTTAAATTAATACATACTTGCAAATATAAAGATTGCAAATTAAAAACTATACACTGTATTTTGAAACATTAACATTTTCATCCATGTCAGCTTGAATTGTATCATTCTTGAAACCATATTATATAACAACATAAGTATTTCCATTTCATTTAATTTTTAGTGTTGTACATTTTCATTTATCTGTTGTTAAAGTACGTTCCATAATAAATGTATTTTTGTTGATTTTTAGCTCACCTGTCACAAAGTGACAGGGTGAGCTTTTGTGATCGCTTTTCGTCCGGCGTCCGTCCGTCCGGCGTCCGTCCGTCGTCCGTCCGTAAACTTTTGCTTTAAATGACATCTCCTCATAAACCACTGAGCCAATTTCATCCAAACTTCACAGGAATGTTCCTTTGGTGGTCACCTTTAAAAATTGTTCAAAGAATTTAATTCCATGCAGAACTCTGGTTGCCATGGCAACCGAAAGAAAAATCTTTAAATATCTTCTTTTAAACAACCCTAAGAGCTAGAGCTTAGATATTTGGCATGAAACATTTTCTAGTGAGTGTCTACCAAGTTTGTTCAAATAAAAGCCCTGGGGTCAAAATTGGCCCCGCCCCAGGGGGTCATTGATTTTCCCTATATGCATATAGTAAAAACTTAAAAAATCTTCTTTTAAAGAACCCAAAGAGCTAGAGCTAAGATATTAAGCATGAAACATCTTCTAGTGAGTGTCTACCAAGTTTGTTCAAATTAAAGCCCTGGGGTCAAAATTGGCCCCGCCCCGGGGGGGTCATTGATTTTCCCTATATGCATATAGTAAAAACTTAAAAAATCTTCTCTTAAAGAACTATAAGAGTTAGAGCTTAGATATTTGGCATGTAACATCTTCTAATGAGTGTCTACCAAGTTTGTTCAAATAAAAGCCCTGGGGTCAAAATTGGCCCCGCCCCAAAAACTTAAAAAATCTTCTTTTAAAGAACTCAAAGAGCTAGAGCTAAGATATTTAGCATGAAACATGTTCTAATGGGTGTCTACCAAGTATGTTCAAATAAAAGCCCTGGGGTCAAAACTGGCCCCGCCCAGGTGGGGGGGGTCATTGATTTTCCTTATATGTGTATAGCGAAAACTTAAAAATCTTCTTTGAAAAAACCCAAATAGCTAGAGTTTAGATATTAAGCATGAAACATCTTTAAGTAAATATCTACAAAGTTTGTCCAAATAAAAGCCTGGGGGTCAAAACTGTCCCTGCCCCAGGGGTGTCATTGTTTTTAACTATATGTGTATGGTAAAAACTTTAAAAATCTTCTTTTAAAAAACCCAATGAGCTAGAACTTAGATGTTTAGCATGAAACATCTTCAAAAAAAACAAATAAAAGCCCTTGGGTAAAAATTGGCCTGGGGGTGGGGGGGGGGCCTATATACAGGTGAGAGACCTCAGGGCCATCATGGCCCTCTTGTTGTGGAAACTAGTCGTAACTAATATAGCCACCAAATTGTTTCAGTCTTGTGTTTTAATGTTGTTTATTAAAAGAAATATAAATTGTTTAAAGTGAAACATATGTATAAATGAAAACAAATGTATGTATATTTTGGTATGTTTATATCATTAGTATTAATAGTTTTTAGGGCGATTGAAAGTAACTGCTGTTTAATTTTTGCATTCAAATTGAGTTGGCGGGGACAACTTTTTTTGCTATATTATGTTCAAATATTAGTCACATTATTTCCATATTAAGAAATAAGACTTCATTCTAATATTAAAACTGCATTATTACATGCAAAGTGTAAAAAAGAGAAAGTTTCCATGTAATATAATGTTAAATGTAGCGTCAGTGAACCAAATGATGTCTGGAAAAAATTTTCTCCTCTCAGTTTCAACATAAATTTATCAATTATTTTTTAATAAGCATGATTTTTGCTGTTAATTTAGATCTTGATAAATATACAGAATAGAAAAATGATGCAGTTTAATGAAGCAACATATTATCAATGGCTGTATTTGTTAAAAAATTTTAAATTATTTGTTTTTATGTTGAATGTTAAATAGCTGGTGAAAAATATTAACATAGGAATCAAGTATTGATATACACTGCCTTTTGTTATATAGTAATTTCATGCTAACAAAATTGTGTGATAGCTTTTGAGTCTAAAATTAATGTTTTGAAATGTTATATGTATTTGTTGTTAATTGAAGTTTATATGTTCATATGTACAGTTGACTCTCGGTAACTCGAAATCCAAGGGACTGGGCATTTTACTTCGAGAGAAACGGAATTCGAGTAACGTGGAACTATCGATATTACGTTGACATTCGTACATGTATATACATGTGCCTGATTGAATGCGCAAAGAAGTAGGTTTGTTATTGTTGTTAGCGGCAATGCTGCAATATTTAACCATTGAAATGACGGTAAATTACTCACAACTACATATTATAAATTCAAAATTTAATACATGTATATTATTAGTGAAACATAAACACACAATTATATTTGATTTAATTGATCATCGGACGAAACGAAATTAGCAACTATCGTGAACCGGAAGGACAAATTAATGTATGTAATATGCGGGAACATTAATTATACAAATGTCATTTAAGTTGATAACACACATTAATACCTAGGCTGTTATTTGACTAACCCCCGTCAGACTGACACGAGTAAACATTCTTTAGAAATGTAATCAAATTTTAATTTAATTATCTAACTGTTAAAACCAATTAAGTCCTGAAACGGATTAAAGTCACTTTTACGAGGTGTTAATAATACATGATGACCGGCAATTGAAAATTACCATGAAACGTGTACATCACGAGTGACAACATCTCACCTTGATGTCGCCGACCTTTGATCAGTCGTCTGTTTTCACACTTCGACTAATTGAGATGAAAATATGTTGGACTTTAATTGACGGGACCAAATTTTCTTTTCGACTAAACAGGAGTCTCGGTAAGTCAAAATTTGACCTAAGCGGAGTTAAAATACAAAGATAAAGAAAGAAATTTGACGGGACTTTAGAAATTATTCGACTAAGGCGGAAATTTGAGTAAAGCGATTTTGACTTATTGAGAGTCAACTGTATTTGTTGTTAATTGATGTTTATATGTATATATGAAAGAAGTATTAGAATAATTGTATATAAAGGACATATCTGACAAAGATTGTATAGGTCAAATGTGACTGACACCAGAAGATTAATAATATTAGCACAAATGCTAATTGAGAACTGCCCCCATATATAACACAATTTAATGTTTATTATAATATAAACACTGACTGTTGACCCATACATAAAATATACAACATCACCGTTATAATTATGACTTACATACAAAATACTGTTATATATTGGCATGTCTTGTGGCAGGGAAAAAATTAGCTGTTGATAACTTGAAAAGACAGGTGTAGAAAAAATAAATATAATGTGTAAAAAAAGATGTTTCAGATTGATTCCTTTTTTGGATCTTATATATAGAAAAATAGGTTTCTGCGAAATGCATAAAAATAAATACTGTTTTATTTTTGTATGTTTATTTCTGTTAGCACTTTCAATCTACTACAAATATCTTATGTTTCTGTCTGAAGATGTGTGCAAACAGAAATAAAGATATAAAAAGTGAACGTTATTTATTTTCTGCATTTCACAGAAACCTATTTTTTATATATATAATATGTATATAACAGTGAGTTGTCACTGGTTGGATTAACTTAAACAATCCTTAATGACTGCGGTACTGATAATTAGCCACCATATTCATTCAATTTATATGTATATGATACTAACAAATTATTGAAAATTGCAGTAAATTTTGATTAAAGTAATAATTTCTAATTTCTTACACCAAAACTTCAAAAAAAACTTTACAAACTTTATTTCCTATTTCACCAGAAATATATTCATGTAGAAATTACAATTCTGATATGAGGACCAAATATTGTTATGTCAATTATTCAAACAATGCAATTTGTTATTATCATGTTTTGTTTATCTAAATCTGTGTAAAATATTGTATATCGTTGTAAATTATGTTGGTGATA